GTCGGCCGGGTCTTCTTGGGACTTCCCAGATCCCAATATTGACTTCACAGGTGCACGTGAAGCCATCCAGCGGGCTGTAGTGGGCTCCATTGGGTTCCAATGGATTCCAGTTGGTTCCAATGATCCCAGGGCCTATCGGGGCTGTGATGTCGGATGGTTGTCTGGATCTATATGATCTGGGCAGTTCTATGGGGCCACTCTATAGTGGGCTTGGGATCTGGGAAGTGGGATGTCCTCTGGATCTATCCAGGGCCACCTGGGTTAGAAAAAAAAAATAGAAAATATCTCTGGGAGATCCCAGCTAGGCCCCAGCAAGATCTTTGACAGATCCCAGGGTGTTATGAACGTGACTGACAGTCGCGCGACACGTCACTCATGATCCACCCTGCATGGCCACATGGTCATGATTCATGACCGTGGGAAACATAGGATCGGAGACTAAATATATTCTCCGAAGGGCGAGCGGGGGGGGGAGTAGGCATAGACTTAAATAGACCACCCCGCTCCCCTCCTGATGAACGCTAGTGAATTATCACTTCTAATAAACGATTATCACTCTCCTTGTCTGTCCCTGTTCCCGTCCCGTCCTAGCTCCCCTGTCCCTGCCCTTGATTCCCCTGCCCTGCCCTCGCCAATTCCTGACACAGGGCTTGGGTATTCTCCGAGGTTTTTTTGATTTTTTTTTTTCTTCAGAGGCTTGGTCGCCTGCAGGAACCTTTGGGAACTTCCCAGATCCCATTATGAGATCCCAGGGCCTATCGGGGATGGGATGGGATGGTATGTCGGATGGATCTCTGGATCTATATGATCTGGCCAGTTCTATGGGGTCACTCTATAGTGGACCTGGGATCTGGGATCTGGGATGTCCTCTGGGTTTTGCCTGGGGGCTCTCTGGGTCGGAAATAAAAAAAATATCCTCAGCGACCAAGGGATCAAGATCCCAGGGAGATCCAAACTAGCCCCCAGCAATGTTCTCCCAAGATCCCAGGATTTGGATATTCTCCCAGTTTTATTGTTGTGTTTTGTTTTTGTTTTTTTTTCTTCGGAGGCTCCCTGGTCGGCCGGGTATTTTCGAACTTCCAAGATCCCAGATCCCATAATGAGATCACAGGTGCACGTGGAGCCATCCAGACAATGTCTAGGTTCAAAGGCAACTGCTGACCGTCGGTCAATCCTGCACCTCACAATGCATAGCACTGTTACCCTCTATTGATCTTCATACATATGTTCTACTACTACTGCTCTGATACTACTACTGATACTGATACTGATACTGATACTGATACTGATACTGATACTGATACTGATACTGATACTGATACTGATACTGATACTGATACTGATACTGATACTGATACTGATACTGATACTGATACTGATACTGATACTGATACTGATACTGATACTGATACTGATACTGATACTGTATGATTCTCTACCTTCCCAATTGAATCATGATCAATAAGAAGAAATGAAAGACACAGAAGAAGATGAAGACTTGAAGAATGATAAGAAACACATAGTAGTTTAGAATGGTAGTCGATTGGACATAGTGTTCCATAATAGAGAGGAATGGTGCAAGCTGTGGATGGTTGTGTGGTGTGGTGTGCCCCCATCCTCGCCTATACTGATATGAGGTACAATCACGGTGATGCGGGATGCAAACGCCAACATCGAAATCACAAACCGGAACCAGAACCTAACCCTGACCTGACCACAGAAGCCCAGTCAAAAACAACTGTGTCATCCATCTGGCCCTCTAACCTAAACTCTAAGGTCTAATCTCTAACCTAACCTAACCCTGATGAACGTACTCTCATTGTGGTCAGCCTAAACTGTTGGCGTATATGTAGGCTGAAGGCAAGGGCGTGGGAATAGGCTAAACATCGGCCCACGAAGGGCGGTGGCTCTACCAGTGGCAGTTCATGTCTTTGGGAAACACAGGAGTGTCCACTGTGACCCAGCAACGAAATTGTATCATCGCAATACGACTGAGAAGCGTGGGTTCGGTTCTACATGTGTTACTGGTATGACGAGGGAAGGGGGGAGTGGAGGGGGCTGTGATGTCGGATGGTTGTCTGGATCTATATGATCTGGGCAGTTCTATGGGGCCACTCTATAGTGGGCCTGGGATCTGGGATCTGGGAAGTCCTTGGGATCTCGCCAGGGCTGCCTGGGTCGGAAAGAAAAAAAAAAACCTCAAAGACCGAGGGATCAGGATCCTAGGAAGATCCCAACTAGCCCCCAGCATGATCCTAGCAAGAACCCAGCAAGATCCCAGGGCTTGGATATCCCCCAAGGTTTTTTTTTTTCCAGAGGCTGCCTGGTCGGCCGGGTCTTCTTGGGACTTCCCAGATCCCAATATTGACTTCACAGGTGCACGTGAAGCCATCCAGCGGGCTGTAGTGGGCTCCATTGGGTTCCAATGGATTCCAGTTGGTTCCAATGATCCCAGGGCCTATCGGGGCTGTGATGTCGGATGGTTGTCTGGATCTATATGATCTGGGCAGTTCTATGGGGCCACTCTATAGTGGGCTTGGGATCTGGGAAGTGGGATGTCCTCTGGATCTATCCAGGGCCACCTGGGTTAGAAAAAAAAATAGAAAATATCTCTGGGAGATCCCAGCTAGGCCCCAGCAAGATCTTTGACAGATCCCAGGGCTTGGGTATTCTCCGAGGTTTTTTTGATTTTTTTTTTTTCTTCAGAGGCTTGGTCGCCTGCAGGAACCTTTGGGAACTTCCCAGATCCCATTATGAGATCCCAGGGCCTATCGGGGATGGGATGGGATGGTATGTCGGATGGATCTCTGGATCTATATGATCTGGCCAGTTCTATGGGGTCACTCTATAGTGGACCTGGGATCTGGGATCTGGGATGTCCTCTGGGTTTTGCCTGGGGGCTCTCTGGGTCGGAAATAAAAAAAATATCCTCAGCGACCAAGGGATCAAGATCCCAGGGAGATCCAAACTAGCCCCCAGCAATGTTCTCCCAATATTTCAGCCTCATTCCGCCTGGTTCTCCGTCACCATCATATCGTTGTCTCTCTCGACAGCCCATGAATTGTTTATGTCCTTTAGTTCCGGAACTTCCCCCATAGTACTAGGCTCTAGAGGTTAGGCATCAGACAATAGACCCATCACTGTCATGTCATTTATTTTCATTCTTCCCTTGGTATATGGTTTAGGATCAGTGAATCATCGGTTGTAGATATACACCCTGACGCATTCCATTGCACATTTCCTTCCAAGTGTCAGAGCTCTGTATATGAGTCATTGTCATAATCAAATGCGGACTCAGCGGCTATGAGTACGGCACCTCGAAGTGAGCTTAGCGAAAACAATTTGACTGTCCGAAGGAGACCTCTGAGGGAACGAGGATGACAAAGAATCCTTCAATATCAGATCAGTCTCGACGTGGGACATGCAGGAAATTCTCAGGATGCAGTAGAAGGCGCTTTATTTAGTCCTATTTTGAACGCTGAGGTTCGACTACACATCGCGGCGGTCAGGCTATTTATAGTCAAGTCCGGACTTGGAAGCGAAAGGCGGCCAAGGGAGGGAAAGGTGGGCGATCGAGCAGGGCGAAGGGGGCGAAGCACGAACGAGGGCCGAGAAGGACCACCGAGACAGGCAGAGAACCAAAGCGAGAGAGGCGCAAGGAAAAGCGAAGCACCTGGCAGGAGAAACGTGCAAAGGCGAAGCAATGTGACTCAACGTCCAAGAAGCGGATTGGTCAAGTATAAGGTTGGGGCAAATGCATGCGAGATGAACAAGAGATCGGGGCGGTCAGGCAGGTCATGAGTCACCGATGGGGGGACACATGACCGGCAGCCGAATTGCAACCAATCGCAGCGAAGCGCGTGCACAAACAAACCGGCGCGTGCGAAGAAGACAGTGGAAGCGGAGCAGCGCGGGAAAACGGAAGAGCGGAAGGAGCGGAAAAGACAGGAAAAGGGCGGAAAATCGGAGGGGAACTGCAAAGCTACACACAAACAAACAGAAAGGCAAAGGAACAGCCAAGTGTGCAGTCAAAGTGGAGAACAAGCAGGAGCTATCCCTGACATCGTACTTCTCTCGTATTCCCACTGTCTCCATCCATATGGCATGAGCTCCATCGCGCTATCCTTCCACTCTGTGCTCAATCTTTCATCTCACGTTCTAGGTTTCAATGTCCATTGACTATGTACACACAATGATTCCATCCACTACATCTATCCGAGGTCCCGTCTTGCTCCTTCTCACCCCTCCCTGCTCCTTCCAGTTTCCCTCACTCCGTCCCATGCGCTCCCGGAGTTCTTCCGGTGTTTACCCGTAGTTTAGCCGCCTCTCCGTTCACCCGGCACCAAGCCGGAACGGTTCCGATCCCTCCGCCATTCTGCGCACCAATCGTTTCCTTCCACGCCTTTTGTTTACGCGCGTGGCTAACCGCGTGCTCTTGCCTTGCCCTCTGGGTGGTTCCCCGATGACGCCATCGGGTAACACATGCCGCTGGGCTGTGGCAAGCCTCCCTCGCTTGCACCTCGCCTGTTCTCGCACACCCCCTTCTCAGTCCTCGGTGCTACACCGCCCCCGTCGCCCGCCGGAGACGGCTTCCGCCCACCTCGTCCCCCGGGGGTGTCCCCGGTCTATAAATAGGCCAACGCTCGCCAGCAAGTTTCGCACTCCAGACGGAACAAGAAGCGTTCTTCCTTAGCTTTCCTGTTCTACTATCCGCCTGCTCCTCTTATCTACCTCTCTTTCACACGCCTTCCATCCGCCCTTCACACCTGCCCTTTACAATTTGGTCGATTCTATCCCGTCTCGCTCCCTGTCTACAAAGTCCCCCGAACTAGTCACCTCTCTCTTCCCTTCAACTTCTCCTGTGGTTCTTACCTGCCAAATTCCTAAGCTGAGTGTAAGCCAACATATCACCAATGAGTCCTCGCCGTCTCGTTCTGTGTCCCATACTAACAGATTTGTATTTGTTGTGTCTTGTATCATGATGCCAGTCGCGTTCGACCATGCAAGCCGCCGTCACCGATCACCCTCCGCCCGACCTTGATAGCACTTCGGACACTGAATCTGCCGATACTATCATCGATCCAGTCCAAGACACTGTCAGTTCCGATGAGGGTTCGGACTCTGTTGTTCTGGATGATCCCGAGGCTTCCGTTCCCAAGAATCAGGATCTCATGTCCCCCATGCCTGTGTACTTCAAGACTGTGGTCCTTGATCTTTTCAAGAAGCAGCTTCAAAAGGACAGTCTTTCATTTACAATTTTCCAAAGCCTGAGAAGGATTTCGACTGGACTCGTTGCTTGTTGGTTGATGCAGTTCCCAGGGAGTGTCGGGTCTTTTGTAAGCGCCTTTGCTGTCCCTACCTCTCCCTGCACTCGCAAGACAAGGAGCACTTGATCCCCAAGGTGTATATTGCCATTTCTCATGGAGTGGTGAAGGTTGGCTGTACTGATCCTGAGTGTCAGGCTGCCTCGGAACAAGGGTTTACTGTTCAGTGGACACCTAGCAGCAAGACCTACCGCCCTATGGCCTGGAGAGCCCTCACCTTCGCCCTCCAAAAGGAATGCAACATTGCCGAGCCTGTTCCGGTCCACAAAGGGACTCCTTTGACCCGTCAAAGCCGATCCGTTCGACACCAACTTGATGGTACTGGAAGTAGTGGTGTCGCCACCATTCCTTCGATCTTGCAGGACGTCTCGAATGTCTCTTGGGATAGTATGACCGACTGTCTCGGTTCTGGAAAAGGACACTCACTGTCCCGAGCCTTGCGGTCGGTCCCGTTCATGATCAAGCCCGAACTCATTGTTTCTATCGAGTTCAAAGCAACAGGCCAGTTTATTGTTCAAAGTATGGGATGTCCGATTTGCGAACAGTCGGATTCTGAAGATATCCACTCGACCTTTACACTCGAATACTTCCCGGCAGCTATGTCCTTCACACTTGAGCCTGGACACTGTCAGTCTGTCCACGGAACCCTCAACAGTGACATTGCTAACAACCTGGCGACGTGGCATCGCAAGCTATCGGACTCGACTGTCGATGTAGACGATCAAATGGAGGTCATGAAAACCGACGTCCAGGAAATCATTGCAGCATCATTTGCCAGCTCGTTCATCACCGGCTTCAGTCCACAGACTGATCAAAGAGGATTCAACATTGAACTCAATGGCTCCTGCTTCTTTTGCAAGACCAGTGGAGTCGTGCTCAGTGGATCCATCACCTCCGAAGGATTCCGATTCCGATGCTCAAATTGCAATGTCGAGGACCCAACAGGCCCAAAGCGATTCCCCATCGACCGCTACATGTGGAGCAATCCCTCCAGCAGCTTCACCCAGTACATCAAGCAAATGAATACCCAGTGTGTCAGCAACAGGTTCTCATCCCTTTCGGAGAACGATAAGTGGAAGAGCATTGCCCACCTTCACGATCCCACCCCTACCTTCAGGATGTCACTGCTCAGGCAGCTCTGTGCTTCAAGGATTATCTCACCAACACCACTGGAAACGCCGAGCTGCTTGATTTCCTTGCTTCTGTGTTCGGGGACGTCTGGTTGCACGATCGTGATCGCCCCGGCAACTGGTACCATTTCAACGGAGTGTACTGGGAAAGGTCCAACGGCAACAGCGAACTCAACAACCTTGTGCTCGATTACTTGAGACGAATCTTCAGGAGGGCCCTGGAGTGGTACTCGGACCTCGAAGGACGCGACCTTCCACATTCTGCAGAAACCATCGGCCACTTTGAGCGAATGAAACAGAAGATGGTGGACTCTGGTTTTGTAAGCCAACTCGTCAATGGCGGACTGTCACATCAACTGTCGGTCAAGTTTCCCGAGTTCAAGCAACGCAGGAACAAGAATCCTTTGCTGCACGTCACCAGGGACGGAACCCTGGACTTGACCACGATGGTGTTTCGACCCAGTAGACCCGAGGACTACTTCACGATGTGGTCGAGCGCTTATTACAACGACCAAGGGACTGAAGCCGTTCTTAGAGCCATGGATCACTTGAACGAAATCATTCGCAGCATCTTTGTGGATCCGGACCAATTCGATTGGAACATGCGCTACTTTGCCAGTCTCCTGGATGGCAACAACGACGAGCAGTTCCTGGTCCTCGGCATCGGCAGCTCTTCCAACGGCAAGTCACTTATGGCCAAGATTCTCCGGATGACCCTTGGCCCGGTGTACTCCAGCATGTTGACCAGCTCCTACCTCCATACAAGTACTCAAAGTAGCTCTGCGGCA